GTCGTAACAACGTGAGTGAGGAAATTCGAATAGTTTTGGCCCAGAAAGCGAAATTTGAATATCAAACACTTAGGTTCAAGATTATGCCAAAATTTCAGGTTTTCCGGCCCGTTTTTGCTCATATCTCGGAGGCAAAATGAGCAAGAACGCTCATTTGTACATCATTCTAGAGATAAGTAAATCGTCTTTTTATAAAGTGAACCATGGATGGGGAAATGTTGGCAGTTTTCTCAAAAAATGCTTGAATTCAAGAAGTTTTAGATTTGCGTGTTTTTTTTTGAGTTGCAAAATCCACTTGCGAAAAAAATGCGAAAATCAAAATTCTGTCATTTTTAGAGCAGAAAGGAACGAAAACTGCGAAAACAAAATTATTAATTTATTTTTAAAATTATTAATTTGATCAGTAAACTTTAATTTATTAATTAAATTATTAATAAACGGAAATTAATGGTCCTTTCGCCTTTAAGGGTTGATTGTGAAAAAATACCGTGTTTCTATGAGGATTTGATAAATCAGTCCTTACAGCAGCTCGTTTTCTAGGGCCTAAAAGCATTGAGCCTGTTAATTAAATTACTGAATTGGACCAATAGCTGTAAATCAATCATCCAATTAGCACGACGTGCGATTGTTGCTTAATGAACGCACTGCATTATAATCCAAAAAGCGCCTTTGCTAAAAATACCCGGAACTTATTTTGAAAAGACTACTAATGCGTTATAAATACTCCAGCAAAGTTTGGCGGTCAAATTTAAATTTAGCATCGTGTTTAGGTCCGTATGTTGGCAGCGAATGACAGCTTTGAAGTTGACAACGTTTTGAAATCGCTTCCCAATCCACATCCGATCAGGTTTCGCGAGTGAACTCGCGTGTGTGCGACAAAGATAATGCTGAAACCGCCACCGAGATTTTGGTTTTTGCATGTTATTAATGTTGTTTTTTTATTTACGTTCGTCAAATATGGCGTATCGGTTGACAAAGCCTTGACAGTTTAGGATTTTAATGGAAAAAAATCAGTAAAACTGATGAGTTAATTTAGTATAAAATGTATACGCTTCCAAATTTTTGTCGTGTTTGCCTCAAATATGATAAAAACCTCATCGATTTGGCTCATATCGAGAACGAACCGAGTGAAACGTTAATGAGTAAACTTGCACTCTGTGTTTCCGAAGTGGTAAGTTTTTGTTATTGTAAAACGGAACCGGAATCAATTATGTTGATTTTTAGGAATGGAACGCCTTCAAGCCCCTGCTGTGCCATCCGTGTATTAAACGACTGAATATCGCCTATGGCTTCAAAAAACAGTGCATGCAATCGGCAGGTGTTTTAAAAAACTATGTGGAGTTAGTTAAGGAATCTCAAAAGAAGAATGAATCTCAAAGTACCATTAACACAGAGAACTCCGCTACACCCGGAGGTTCTTACATGCTTTTACCCAATCAGAAGTATGTTAAAATCCTTGTGGGCTCTCAGAATCAAAGTACAACAGGTAAAACGAATTCTTTCCAAAATGTGTTTCTTAACCTTGTACCGTCAACAACAATCAGTTCGGTTTCGTCTGGTTCGGAAACGGGTGCCGAAAATAGCAAAGACACAAATCAGAATGTGTTTTTAAATTTAAACAACACCTTCCAAAAGTTTATTCCAATATCCCCAGCGGAGTCGCCGCCTCTTAAGAATAATGAGGCATCGAAGAGGTCAAGGGAATCCCTACTTAAGGCAAATGTAAACAATGTAAACGTTAATGACCTTTTAACAGAATCCAAAGCGGAAGAAATGAGCGTAGAAATAGACCCAACGTCATTTTTATCAGTTGAACATGATAATCCATCCAGTAGTGACGGCGATTCCAGGAACGATTGCGATTGGGATGAAATGATCACCAAACAAAAACTAGACTATATGCAAGCGAAGAGCAAGGCGAATGGTTCTACCTCAAAATATCGAGATTCGACCAATTTTGTTCCTATTCTCCCAAAGGACGATTATCAGATGTACTCAGGGGGACATTTTCTGTCAAGTTCTTCTGATCAATCAGATATAAGCTGCGAATCATGCCAAAGATCTTTCCACACATTAAGACTGCTGAAGCAACATCTCAAGCAATTCCATCTGGGGAAACTACCATTCAAATGCGATTATTGTTACGCAGAGTTTCTAAGGCGATCAGACTATGAAAGTTGCTTGTATAGACATAAGAAAGATCAAGAGGTTCAGAACACGTCACTGACTCTAAAAGACTTCACCGGCAATTCCTCCTATGAAAATGATGCCTTGAGCATTTCCATTATTGCGGGTACTCCAGCCGATCAGAATCTTGAACCCAACGAAAACGGTGAATACGTTTGCGAAGTATGTAAGCGAATTTTTAATAGTTCAGCGGGTCTGCTCAGGCATAGGGTTAGAAAACATAATCAGAAAAATCGAAAAAAATACTTTATAAAAGGTATGAAAAATGCTCGGTGTGATATTTGCAAAAGAGAATTCTCCACACAATCTTACATGCAACTGCACAGAAAGCTACATCTAAGGGAAGATGGAGGATATAAATATAAAGTGCAGGGCAGAAGCAAATATAAAAACATAGAGGGAGAAGAAGAAGAAAAGGACGAAGCTGCGAAACAAGAGAATGATAACGAGTCAAAAGAAAATGAATCGGAGACCGTAAATGTTACTTCAGATGGTCCTCTTACCGTGAAAGAGGACCAAAATGAAAGTGATTCGGAGACAGACAGTGAACCAGAACATTCAGCTAAAAAGCAGAAACTTGATGATTGCGATTCTAGTGATTCACAGGATGTGAAAGAAGAATACAATTCAAAGGATAAATCAGGGGGCAGTAGTAGTAGCAGTTCCAATGATGAGCAACCGAAGAAAAGCGAAGAACCCGAAGAAGAAGACGGAGACTCAGAATCCAGTAGACATTCTGATTCAAATTGTGACGAACAGAATGATGACGATAAGCATTAATTAGTCTAGAGCGAGTAATGTTTTATGTTTCGAGTTATATCCATAGAGCCCGTTGTTTTCCGGAGTGACACTAATTATCTCCTCGCCAACATATTAGCATTGATATTAAGGGATATTATGACTGAAGAGTTATAAAACTTAAGACCTGAAAAATGTTCAGAATCAGTCTGTTGTGGTTTTCCGAAAAGAAACGATTACTGAATACTCACGATAATGAGGATTAAAATAAAAAAAACACAGGTCAACTCAATTAAAAATAAATGAACCAAACAAAAAAATATAGATTACATTTTTAAATGAAGTCTTAATTGGGAGAAAACATAGAATTATTGAGAGAAATGTGTGTGTTTCATAATTAGAAATGTTGATATTTCATTTTCAAATCTTTATCCTGTAAGAGTTTATTTGGTTCTTAAGTTTATGCATGGATTTATGTTCAATTGACTTATCCGATATTTTTGCTCTGAAGATCACAATAGACCTGTTCTCAATATTTGAGAGTAAAAACTGTAAACTGGAAAACTAAGTTGTCAACAAAATCTGTTTAATTTAATGAGCGAAGTGAATCTTAACCAACCCTAAAAATGTGAATAGTTTGTGGATTTACAAAAGCATGTTGCAAAACTGTTTTCAATTTTATAACATGTTTCAAATATCTTCTTACAGTAATGTGTTGATAAGCCCTTTACTAAATCCTGAATTCTGCTCGAATTACTTTATGGCAATATTTGGGTCAAAAATGGCAATAATGTATATAGATATATATACTATTTACCAATATGTGTATGTGAAAAATATTGCTGTAGTTTTTTCTCTCAATGAAAGTGGCGCTTCTCAAAATCAATATATCTGAAATGTTTTATCAATATTCAACTACTACAGTAAATTATGAATAACAAACCTAAATATCGTGTGAAATATGCAATAATTAGCATGTTTCGGGTTGAATAAAATCGAAACTAAAACGTTTTTCATACAACTTGAACTGAGTATAAAAGTAATATTATTTTCTTTTAAGTACATGTAGTATTTTAGGTTTAAACCTCTGGTAATTTTAGATGATTGGATCCTTTATTGCAGATTGCAGAAATATCTTTTGCTTTGGCACCAATACTTTTTTATCATCATCATCAACAAATCTTTTTTAAGATCTTAATTTCCGGTATCTAAGTTTTTTACTGTTTAAATTACTCAGCAACTTGAACTTGCAAGTGCTTCAATTAGTTGTGTATATTTTTCCGATATGTTGTAAGATGGGATCTGATTTTAATTAGCCATAGAATATTTTTATTATCAGTAAGTCTAAGTTTTTTTTATATACAACTACTGTAGGTATTAAGATCGTTTAAGTTTGACTTGGCATTAGCCCGGATGTACATATAGATTCCTACGTACATAATTATAAGAGTATTTTGCTCCTCTGATATTTTTACGCTCCTTGGCGCTCATCTAGGTTTTACTTTCAAAGTGGTAGTTTGAAGATGATTTACTCTTTTCAGCTTAATGCTCTTGACAATGTAAACTTTTTAGATTTTATTAAGAAGCTGAAGCTGTAAAGTGTTTTCTTGTAACTGCGGTCTTTGCACTTTTGAACAATTTCATATCCAGGATCTGAACTTTTGGCGCTTTATTTTTAAGAGTGTACTGATTATTTGTATAGTATTTCTACTCCAATTAAAAGTGAGGCAAGCTTTGAATACTTATGCTAAATAGGTATGAAGGCAATTTGCTACACTTGGCGAATTAAATGTGATACTTTGAAACTAAACACTAGTTTGCTGCAAAAATATATCCTATTCTAAAAGGTCAGCAAGGAAGTTAAAGTGCCTGATTGTATAGCGCCCTTAACGGGAATGTAAATTTTAGATTTTAATGGTTTTTGAAAGTTCTAATAATTATAGGCATTTATACAGTTTATTCGGGGCGACCATTCGGTTGAATAATATATAGTAGAAATACTGCGCAAAGGAATACATGTTGGAGCAAATAGAGGCACTATCTACAGTGAAACCTTGATAAAACACGCTTTGTTAATTTTAGCCTTCGGGGCACCTAAAGCTCCTTAAATTTAGTGTTTGTCAAAACTTCATTTTTATTTAGTGTCGAGACATACGATCAATGTTTTCTTAGTGTTTAGGGCGTAGATACTCGTTCCTGGTAGATTTGTGACTACATGCGAATACATATAAATGCTCATCGGGGATATTTTTCGGTGTTCCGAAACCATTTCATATCAGTTAAATCTATCAAAAAAGTTTAAATTTTCATATTTTAAAGAGACTACATTTCTAAGTTCAAATTTGTTTTAATCGGAATTAAAGTGACAATAATCAAAATTAAATTGAAAGGAAACTTACTGTTCACAAAGACAAAATTTGATTGCTTCATACCGATTTGATGTATTTACTGCCAATGAGCATTTTATTAATGTCTATGATTTTAATTATTGTTAACTTAATTTTGACTTTGTGACAATTTGAACTTGAGTATGTATTGCATTTGGAGCTGTTTCATAAAGTCTTCTGACATATTTTCTATCAAGATGCTTATAGCTGATATCCCCTTTGGGCTCAATAAGTCCACTGATTACAATTAATATCTAAATTAATATTAGACCCTTTTGAATAATGCACTGTTGTGTTCAAAAAAAAGTTAACTCACCACCCATTGGGGCATATTTCTGGCCATCCTTAATCGGGTGGATGGGTTGGAGATGACCATGGGTTTCCATTTATTCTCGTTTTTACTCTGAAAATTTAGAAGAGGCATTACATTTATTCCACCCTTTTTTATTTATATATCATATCATGTATTTTATATCGTACCCATAATAAAATATTTTTTGACAAAATAATTCTCTCGATATTTTTTCGTCGTTTTTTTCCTAAAAACAGGATGGAAAAATCACAGTTTATGCCAGATAAAACGGACTACCAAGCGACTGTCTCACGTTGATAGTTCCTGTATAAAGAAATTTCAGTTTTAAATGAATATTTGAAAAATTGTTTGATGACTAAAAATCGAAACTTTGTGGACTTATAGAAGGTTTATTAGACCCTCAACAAGCCGAGAGTCTGGGGTTTGCGACATTTTAAAAATAAATTGAAGCATGATTTACATTGGCTAGTCCTGCGAAAATAGGCGAATATTTTTAGATGCACCAAATCAAACCGGGAAATGGTCACAGGATTCTATGTAATGCGTTTTGTGTATCACCAGAACGTTAAAAATATGGGTCAATAATCCGGCCGAGATACATTTATTGAGCAACAAAGTGTTACGGTCAATTATTCTAATTGGTTTTGTTGCTATTCAAAGTACCTACTATTAATTAAATAACCCGTGAATTCTGAGTTTAATTTAAAATTTATGAATTAATATTATTGCAGAATTAATCAAGCAAGAGATGGTAAAAAATCAAATGAGGCAGCAACTTTTCGAGGAGCTGAGAATTGGGGATTTTGAAAATAAAATTGTGCAAAATTGTCTTTTTCAACAGCTTGCAGATCTAAACACAATCAGTTTAGAACACATTTTTTATGATCTTTTCGGGTCAGGATTCTCCCATTTCATCTTTTCGTAGTTCTCGATTCGAAGCCCTTAACAAACACATTTATAAAAATCTGAAGATTCAATAGCTTAAACAAAAAATCTTTATGTGCAAAAAGAACATGTTTTATTGGATGTATCCGGCAGGTGACGGTTAAAGTGCGTCTAAAATCGCGTAAAATCCGAATTTGCCAGTGAATAATTTTTATTCATTGCGTATTTTTAGCTGAGATCGTTACTTCCTACTTATTAAAAATTCGAGTTTGTTGTTGGTACACACTCCATTTGGGTTATTAGGTTAATGATTATTCTAGCGATGAAACATCGTTTGGGCTTATTGGACCGTACTATTCAAAGTGAAGGCAAAATTGTAAAATTCGTCTTGATTCCAATTGATTTGGTGATGAATGATTGAACAGTCGAAGCGAAATCTAAAAGTCTAAAATGTATACATACATTTAGCAAACATTTATTTTTTCATTAATTGAACTGATTTTGGTAACTCGTTTTTGATAGCCGAATTTTTTTGCCAGTTTTTTGAATGCTAAAGTCGATGAAAGTTTAATTTTTGTCTTATATACGCGTTTTAAAATTGTACTATCAGATCACATTCAAAATCTCAAGATTTTCGGGGGATTTATCAAAATTCGACTGTTAATAAATAGCTTTTTTGAGATTTTTGTTACCAGGCTTGTAGAACACTCTGTTGTCGAGCCTTGTTTAGAAAATTGCAGTTGTGTTTCATCGGCAAAATATGTCTGAAAACACTCATTCATTATTACAATTATATATAGATTTTTTCGGTTTTTGTTGCCAACTAAAATAATCCTAGATCGATTTTGTGTATTGAGTTTTCTTGAAAAGCTTGGCAATTAAAATACTTCGTGGCTATCAGAAAATGAAGCAATATTGTGCTAATTGTTAAATTAATAAAGGTGTTTTTATGTTTGTTTCTGCCGGTTTGTTGTTCAATTTTTGCATTTTTCGAGCAAACCAATTAAACCCATTACCGATCTAATTAGCTTCTTAAACAAGCATTGAAACCGTAAAGTAATCAGCTTTTAGTTACATCTTGTAAATATTGTTTCTCCCGGTTTTATGTTTATTTCGCATAATTAACCGCAACTGTTTTTCGATATTTTACGCTTCATTGCATAACAACTTGGAAGCACTAAGAATGAATGGAAAAAAATTGAAAAAATGTATTTTTCTTTTTACAATTTTTTCCAAATTAAAAACAAAACTCAACAATGAAGGGTTTGGTGTGCAAGTCCATTGTTTTGAATTCAACCAAATTAAACTTTTAACAAAAAGTTCCGAATTTCAAAGGGACACTTGTTGATGGAATGGAAAGCCGTGCATGCGTATTCCGTTTTTTTTTTTGCAAAACACCACAAAAAACAGCTGATTTTTTGACTGTGTGGAAAAGTATTAAGTAACTTTTAAAGCGATTAGGAAACGGCAACCGTAGCTGAGATTTGTGCTTAGCTTAGTATAGAGTGGGTTTAGAGCGCTACTTACATTCATTTTGATGGGAAAACCGGCCCTTTAGACCATCGAGGTTCAGTTGCACATTGCCAAAAAGACCAGAAACACTACTAGCCGGGCTAAAGACGTTCCTATTCAAAGTCTGGATCAGTGTGTTCTAATATTAGTTGCACCGTTTGACATTTTGCCAAATTTTCTGGGTATTTATAAGAAGCATGAGACGTCTAGTGTTAGGCCGTGGTATTTTCGATTTTTGGACGCATTGACACGGATTTCACTAAACATCTTTTACAATTGAAAGTAAAACTTACTACAAATTGTATGCGAAAGTGTGCCTGCCAACCTCCAAGTTCCTTCAATCTATAAAAAAGTGTTTGAATGTAGTTAAACTACTTTATTTAGGCGATTTTTATGAAATTTTCAGCATCTTTAGAATCAAGATCATAAGAACGGATTGACTGACTGAATAGAGCACATTATGAAGTGCTAAATATCTATTGGCAGTTTTCACACAAGACGGAAGTATTTGAAGAAGCCTATTAGTTTTAGGCGGCAAAATTGCAAAATCTGCTTTGCTGATTGTGTTGCTTAAATTAAAATGTGCCGAAATTTACAGGCGCTTGTTCTCGAAAAATCTTTGAAACGCGCGGTTTTCTCTGAAAAGCCTTGTCTCTTACTTAAAAAAAATACGTTGAAAAATACTAAAGAGTGAAAGTCAAATTATATTCGGACTTAAAAGAGTTGCCATCATAAAACGTAAAGCAACAAATCGGCTCACAAATTTCTAAAGCAAAAAATCATATCTTCGACAATAGATGAAATAATAGGCAATTAAAACTGTTCTAATCGCTGAAATCGATAAAAACCTGTAATTTTTTCTCCCCCCTTACAGTACAAAAGTCCAAATGCACGCTCCAGTCAGTTAATAGAACACCGAACGTACAGAAACGCAGCAACATGAAAAAACTATTTATATTAAGAATGTATAAAAGCTCAACAACTATATCAATTAGTAGGTAACATTAATGAACAGCTAACTAGTAAATACTCTAAAGTTATTGCTGTTTGGCTCTCATGCTATCACAAAAGGCGCATCTTATATTTTATAATACTGTTAAATAATATCGACTATTCGTAGCGCATCAGCCTCCAAACGTAACACAAAACCTAACTATGAAATATGCCACAAGGAGGATGGCCGTAACCAATCCAAATATCGTCATGTATTCCGTTACTGATACTTCCTGGTTTTGTGGACGGCAATGGGAGCTCAACCCATACTAAAAATGAGACAAGACATACATTTTTTTGGGACTTTTTTGGAAATTTGTGTAAACGAACCCATCCGCCGTTCGAATGGACCCAATTTGCCATTCGATCTTCCAGCAATTCGGACATATCTTCTAGAATAACGTGGAGTTGCTCGTTCTGTCCCTGACGCACATAATCGACCGCTAATCCGGCAGCTATACAGTAGATAGCAACAACCTGGAAGGAAAAAATGTTATAAATCCTCTAGACTTGGGTAACACAGTGGATTTTCAGGTGTTCACACAGCGACACCGATACGGCTTGCCGTGTTGATACAGCGACACAGCGCGACACACTTTTTATATGTTGGGAAATATAAACAGAAGACGCTGTGTTTCGAGGTGTCTAGTGTAAGTTCGCTAGCGCTGCAGCGCGGCCAATGTTTTTCTTTCATTTTTGAAGAAATTAAGATTTATTCTTTAGTTTAATTTAGAATTTAGAAGAAAGAGCTCAAAAAACACGTATGTGAAATTTTGATTTTTGACCGAGATTTTTCTAAAAGTGGGGGTCGATTTTTTGAATAAATTCAAATTTTCTCAAAATGTCTTGAATTTTACATCATTTTCAGCTCACGGACGCTAGAAATGCATCGAACTCGTTGAAAAACATGGTAGAAGTTTCAGATCCGAAATAATAGACATTTTCGGCATATTTTAAACGTTTTTTGAGCGTTCACGATCTTTAACCGACGATTTATTCCTTATTATTGTCCCAAACACTTAATAAATGCATATTTCTGACCTTCTCACGTCGAAAAGAGTCGATTGAGCTCAAAAAACACGCATGTAAAATTTAGATTTTTGGTCGAAATTTTTCCAATGGTGGGGGTCGATTTTTTGAAAGAAAATTAAAATTTCTGCAAAAATTTCTGAAATGTTACATCATTTTCAGATCACGGACGCGAGCAATGCATAGAACTCATTAAAAAGCATGGTAGAAATTTGAGATCCGAAATGATAGACATTTTCGGCACATTTTAAGCGTTTTTTAAGCGCTCACGATCTTTGACCGACGATTTCTTCCTTATTATTGACCCAAACGCTTTATAAATGCATATTTGTGACCTTCTTACGTCGAAAGGAATCGATTGAGCTCAAAAAACACGCACGTGAAATTTTGATTTTTGACGCAAATTTTCCTAAGGGTGGAGGTCGATTTTTAGGAAAAATAAAAATGTTCTCAAAATCTCTTAAATTTTACATCATTTACAGCTCACGGACGAGAGGAATGCATCGAACTCATTGAAAAACATAGTAGAAGTTTCAGATCCGAAATAATAGACATTTTCGGCACATTTTAAGCGTTTTTTGAGCGTTGACGAACTTTAACCGACGATTTCTTCCTTATTATTGACCCAAACACTTTATAAATGCATATTTGTGACCTTCTTGCGGCGAAAGAAATCGATCGAGCTCAAAAAACACGAATGTGAAATTTTGATTTTTGGCGGAAATTTTTCTAAGGGCTCCACCCTCAGAAAAAATAAAAATGTTCGCAAAATCTCTTAAATTTTACATAATTTTCAGCTCACGGACGCGAGGAATGCATCGAACTCATTGAAAAACATTCTAGAAGTTTCAGATCCGACATAATAGACATTTTCGGCAGCTCAATCGATATTGAGCAAAAAACACGCATGTGACATTTTGATTTTTGACCGAAATTTTTCCAAAAGTGGTGGTCGATTTTTTGGAAAAATGAAAATGTTCTCATTTGTCAAAAATGTCATGTTTATTCTGTAGTTCGGTGTCATTTTTCTCGAAAAAGTGTATGATTGTTCAGGTTGTCACCGACAGTGGACCAAATGAGTTGAAAATTGTTAGATGGAAAATATTGATTCATTGTGGCCCTTATGGCAAGTGCGGTAGTTTGTAAAAGTGTAGTGGACTTCTTGAGGATTAATGGGTAGCAAATGGAGGATGGGGCGCCAGCTTGCAGAAAGCTGGTAAGAATGACCTCTAATCTATAATACACAGATAGAGAATTAAGAGCGCGATTCAGTTATAACCCCGTGCATGAGTAAACCCTGGTGAATTTGTCTCAAAGTCACAAAAAATTTGAACTTCAGACTTGTGCGCCAAAATTTCATTTAAATAAAAACTTCTACAGAATCCCAAAAGTTTCCACCGGCTTTCCTTTGGTTGTTGGATGTTGTTTATTGAAGAGTATGCAGTTGCATAAAAGCGTTCATTTTCAAATCGGCATTACAAAGCGCGCAAAATTCAGGATTAGGAGGAATAAGAATTGTTTTTTTCGTGACGCTGACGCTATTTACCTTGCCCCATGTGGGATCAGACCTAAGTATGTGATGGCCTACAGCTAGCAACACACCAACACTACCGTCGGCTGGTGGAGGGCCAGTGTGTCTGGAAATGTTCGAATATAACTTGGGATACATCCTTTCCAGTTCCTGGCAAGCACAGGACAAGCCTGCAAAACGCTAGTTAATAATTTTGCGCAATCGAGTTCAATAAAGTTTCCTACCAGGAAACACGTCCTTAACTATCGTGCTACACGCGATTAAAGAGCCTATCGCGCTCCTCACCCTGGTTAGTCCCAATTTTTTGTTGAAAAGCCCACATTTCTTCAGTTTGGCTCTTATGTATAGTGTGCATAGAGCTCTACCCACTGCCACCACTTCTTCGGGTGGATTGGCTAAATACAGCGTCAGTTTCTGCACTTATACTATGCACACTAAATGTTCCTTACTATTTACTCCGGTTCTCCAGCCAATAGTTGTAGACAGTTTTCTCGTTACTGCGTCCCCTACATTGCTAAATCTTCTCCTGAAGGCTGCTTGATGGTCTCCTGAAGCATACAAACTGGTAAAAAGGGGAATTTTGCAAAATCAGCCCACACCTGTTGTATTTTGCGGCAAATTAACAGGAATACTGAGTTTTCGCCGGGTTCTTGAAGAGGACATTGATTTAATGTTGAATTCGTCGACACCAGAACAGTGCAAATCCATCGCGAGCTTCGAAACGATTAGCGGCAGGTTCTTTTTCTGAAACTATTCTCCCAAATGGTTTATAGAAAACTCAAAGTTTGAGATGCTCTGATTGATCTCGAGTTTGCCGTTTCCTCTTAGCTCGTCAACATATATAAGTTTTTAGAAATTGAATTGTTTTCAATAGGTTTATTCGCGCTCGGACTGAATTCATGCCAATAGAGCAGTTTTCAAGCATCATCGATAACAAAAAAACGCATTGATAAACGATGATTATCTAGATTTGCATCTAGAAATTGCATCATACTTTTGCCTTCGAGCGTCTGTTAAAACATTTTAATTGCACTTTTTGCTTTATAGTTAATAAACGGTAAATTGCGCAAATAAATATATTTGCGTAAATTTCACGTTTTTTGCTGCCAATCTTTTCTTGTTTTTTCCAATTTTCTAATTAGTTTTATTGGCTCCAAGTGATGATAAAATTGATCAGTTTTAAGTGTTAAAAACTTAGTGGCTCTGCGTACGCCATAAACTGTGGCATTCAATAGAAAGAAAATTAGCTAGAAAAGCTGTTTTTCCTTGCGTTTTCCTAGAAATCTGTATGAACGTTTTTCAATGTCTATAATGCATGTATTGAGTGTTTTTTGAACAAAATGATAAATCGCCGTTTATTATAATTTAAAGTCAATTTTATTTATTGCACCGTGCTAAAATGGATCTGAATATTTAAGGCCCAATTAACCCAAATTATTAGAAATGCATGTCAAAACGATGGCACCGGAAAAAAATCGCATGTAGAACAAAGGCTTATGTCGCCCAGAGAGAGCATTATCGGAAAGTGATTAATATTCCACTTTACGCCAAATCGAACATAATCTACAATGAGGACTGAACCTGTTTTTGGAAATATTGAATATTTCCATGTCGCCACAATACAGGGGAAATTAAATAAGTTTCCCAGAAAAAAATTAATTAATATGTACTAATTATTATTATATTTTTTTCCTTCCTGGATTTCAGTCAAAGTGTGAAATAATAGTAGTTTTCGATACGAGGGCGAAAAGTGTCGTTTTTTTGGCGACGGCGTTTGACATCCGAGACAAAGTCGAGGGTGTCAATCGGTCAGGATTTTGTCAACTTCATATTTCAAACAACTTCAACAGCCGTCAACTTCATATTTCAAATTTGATGTCAATGTCATTTTTGAAATTGTCGTGTTTTGACGTTTGCAATTTTTCAAAAGCGTACTTTTGTAAGCATATACAAGTGAAACAATGAGTGTTGAAAATTCAAGTGCTGCTTTCACGGTTTGGTGTTTGTATAAGATGCATATTTTGCATGAAATGTGCGCTATTTAAAAAAATCGTGTTTTGCTTGTGGCCTCGTGGCGCAGAAAAATAGACAATAATGATAATTTACACATTGTAAGTAAACTTTAAATTATGATCAATCGTTCTCTATAAACCTACGTAATTCATTAGAAAAGCCTGTCGGTTACTTTTTAATGAAAATAATTTAAAATATTTTATGACAGTGACACGTTCCATTTGTCACATTTACTTATGCGCAAATGTAAAACAAATGAACAGTAAAGAAAAGTGCATCTTTTTGATCATCGCTTCTGATCGAAAAATGGCACTTTTAGATTCATTCGAATAAAAAAAATTATATCGTTTATTTTATAACGTTTCGGCGAGACAACAGCGCCATCATCAGATTTAAAATTCATACAAACTCATAATTGGGAAACATTAGATTCTTTTAGGTCTTGGCTGTCTTGAAGCCTCAAATTTTTGCATGCAGAAAATTTGAGGTTTCAAGACAGCTCAAGACAGATCAAAGAAAAGTACTAGATTATTAACAAAATAAACAGCTGAGTAAAGCAGAGTGACATTTGTAAGGAATTAGCACTTGGAAAGTCTACTGTA